AAATGGATTCAAGCTCTTAAGAACTCTTATTAAACCTTCCAAGCAATTAGGCTGTTTTAGTCTTCTACTGAGCTGTTTCTTGAAAATTTTCGGCTCTGAGAAGGAATGGTATTTAACTATTCATGAAAGTTATGTGGGTGTGCAGGTGAGAAAAAATATCAGGGAAAATCTAGTTAGTATGTAGATTTGAGGGAGTATCTGACCATCTGCATTAATTCTGAATGTTTTTTAAGACGCCTAAAATCTGCCTTTCTTTCTCCATAAAGTTGATCATGCTACAAGTATTGCTCTGAGGCTCTGAGGTTGCTCAACGAGAAGCTCCAGATGCCCCATGAAAATAACCAAAGAGTTTGCTCAATTGCAGGTTCTGTTCCTCATAGGGTGTCTCTTTTCTTTCATTTAGCAAGGAAAGTCGAAATCTTTAAAAGCCTTATTTCTTTCATTCCCCCAAAATAGCTTTGTCAACCAGAATTCCTTCCTGGGAAGCAATATAGAGATTCCTTCTTACTCTTGATTTTTTTTGCTTGAAAAAATTCATATTGATTAATTTTTTTCCCCTCAACACCTGGTTCTTAATCTTTAATGTGTAATGAAGCTGGTGGTTTCAGGCCAATAGAATTCCACGGTTTGAGATGGCAAGAACAAGAAGTTGCAGGGTAGCTCTTAACAGTGTCAATATAAGCAAAAATCACTACACTGATATTGTACCATGTAATGAAGATGTTCAAGTTGTTATCCGTTGACGACAACGATGGCAGATCTCACGAGCCCACATGGCAGCTTCTCATGAAAATCAGAGGGTTGTGAGTTGAGATGAGGAATCTGAATTCTTTTTGGGGTTTCTGTCTTCCCCATAAAAGGGTCGGTTTAGCTGCTTTTTAAGGTGGTGGCAGTTCTGATTTTTGGGGGAAAGGCAATCTGTGAGATATTGAAAAACGCAACCCCAAGTCTTTGATCTGTTTTCCCTTTTCTTTTCTTACGGGCCTTTGTTCGTGGATCGGGCAGGGTCGAGGGCCATTTTCTCATTGTGAAATTTTTTGAGGAATCTTTCCCACCCTCGAGGAATTGCATTCCCCATGAAAAATTTAAAGAATAAAAAAAAGTGTATTAAATCAACCCTAA